TGTGTTTCTGTATAAAGTTTATGGTCCCCAGCTGTCATAATCTCAAAGATAATCTCTACTTTGGTATTTTGTGATGACAATTTGACATTAAGGACAGACAAGTCAGTATCATACATTACTAAACAAACAGAACACGTACTTTGTTTTTTCGAAGTGAAAACAAGTCATATCTAAAAAAGTTAAAGAAAAGTATTTATGTTGATTCATAAAAAGATTCAAAACCAAAAAATGAAATCCCTAGCTTTTCATAGCAGTGTCACCAAGAGACACTGGACAAAATTTACCTCTCTGTTTCATGATAGTGTGTGATCTCTAGTGCCGACTATCCATCTGCTTTCACCTCCCATCACATCAAGACTGTCAAGTGACACCACCTGTAAAGTCTCTGCTTTTAACTATCCTTTGCATTCAGAGGATCAGATCAAAATTTCACATACTTCAAGGATCTAAGATGTACAAGGCACATGTGTTGTTACAAGCAGCAGCCTGCTTTTGAACCCCTCCCTTCATGCCTTCACCACTTTATTTCAACACGAACCTGCAAGTCAGCATCTGTACCCACCTATCTGCCACAGAAACTGGCACAAAAAGCAGAAGGAATCTGAAAGCTGAAAATCACAACCGAACTGTGAGTGAAAAAGTAGAAGAGAGATTTCCTTCTCTTGTTACTTTGGGTGTATCTCTACATGTTTCCTCAAATATAAAATCCAGACAGTTATGCCACCTTTCTTTTCTAAAACAACCTATATGAAGTTGCATATTTATGACAATCACTCTGTAGTAGTATTTTCATTTTCAAATAGATATAGTACACTGTGTGCTCTGCCTAGGGAGGGATTTGTGTTAAATCACTCCAAACAGGAGCTTAATTCAAACTGCTAAGTGTCTCGCCTCCTTCATTTATCTTCCTAGGGCAGCGAAGGAGAAACAATTTCCATAGAGGGACCAGAGCCCGGTTTTGTTTTTCTTGATCTTGGATTTGTATTTGCAGCTGATCATCAGTGAGTTCTGGTAGTTATATTACAACAGCTCCTCTGTATGAAGTCAGCAAGGATATGAAAGGAAAATGCCCTCACTGCTACCTCCTCCCCATCCCCAGAAAAAGAAAAAGAAAGAAAAAAAAAGGAAAAAGGAATTCTCTCTCAGAGCCAAACCTCAGCTTACACAACATGAATCAGTGCTTCTCTTCTGGTCAGGTTTCGTGGGATCCCAATGCCACAGAAATCCACAGGATTTGCCTTGCTTATGCCCTGTTTCTTTTAAACCTGCCCTCCCCTCTGAAGTGGGTTTATCAGTGGGAGCACCTGTGTTATCTTTGAAACACTTTGGCCAAGAATAATCCAGCAGACAGAATCAGACTGTTTTACACCTGCCTGCACAGCACAGACACACACATAACCTGTCCCAGTGGTCTGGAGCCAGCAGCAATGGGCTTTCCTGTAAGGCAGCCGGGTCAAAGCAGAGACTTGGCAGGTACAGCCTGACAGACACAGCTCGGCACAGGAGGGACAGAGGCTTGAGAGGCTGGTGTAGCCAGCAGGAGACAGACAGTGGAAAAGGCAGGGTGTGAATTGATGGGAGCAGGGGAGGAGGAGAAAGGCTCCATCGTACTTGAGCTGTGTTAAAGCATGCAGTGGAACCCTGTTAAAGAGGGGCTATCTGCAGGGCCTCCCTTATAGATCCAAGGCATACAACACCTGTTAACAAGCATTTCTTTATGCCCTTCCTCCTCACCAAAGCTCTTTGTCCTATGCCATGAAAACTCAAACAAAACTCAAACTCAGAGACAGTATAAACCTTCCAGTTTTTTAATTCAGTCTTCAGTACCTCCATTCAAATGAGTTAAAAAAACAAAAGGGTTTTGTCTGAATGCTTAAACGATATTTCCCAACAGCTGGATCTGTTGGAAAAAGTCAATGTCAAAAAACATCAACTTTGAACTTTGCTCATCTGTAACCAATTCCTACTGTGTGCTCAGGGTCCAGGAAAATACTATAATGAAAGGAATATATAAATCAAAAGACATACTCTCATACAGTGAGAAACTGTTTCTCCTTTTTTTTTTTTTTTTTTTTTTTTGGTAGTAGGGGAGGACAGGATTGAATTTTTCTTGGCATTGTTGTATTTTAATTTAGCCTTGCAGTCACAGAACTGTGTGACTGCATCACCCATGCCCTATCCACAACCAGCAAGATGCAACACAGACCAGTGCAGTGTTCTCTATGCAGGACCTGACTTCACACAGTTGGGACATCTGCAGTTACACCTTCATTTGCAGAATTTATCTGTCCAGAGACATGAACTGACTGCACTTCTGAATCTAGTAATTCTCATCTGCAAGTAAGTTTTATAAAGATATGTTAGGCCATACACAAAGGGAAGATATTTCTCATGGCAAATGCAACACAAATGGTTTGCTTAAAAAAAAAAAAAAAAGCTGATTGATATATATCAAAGTTTGGATGTACAAAGAAAGCTTTTCAAGGGGCTCCTCTAATTTGTACCCGAGGTATTTTAGCTTCTGCAGGAGCAAAGGAACTAGAATAAAGATATAGGAGGCATCAAACCACACATTTGCAATGATTTCTGAGCTGCTTCTCTCCCAGAAGATGCTGCACTGAAGCAGCCTATAGGTCTTTACATAGAAATCCAAAGAAATACTTTACTTTAGTCAGCCACTTCAGAGGAGGAGTCTGTTTTAACCACAGTTTCCAAGGTCATAAAATTTGACAGAATATTCATACACCAAAGTAGACAATTTAATCCCAAATGCTGTTTAAGGTCATGCCTACATGATCTTAAAAGGTCTCTTCTGCTGACTCCTTAACTGACCTCACTGGCTCTTGTACACAACGTCAGCTCAGGGTTGGAGACCAAATCCTCAGACAGGGCAAATGCAGTTCTTCCAGGCTAGCTCCTGCAATCCCCACAGATACTAAGTTTTTATAATAATTTTATCGGCATTAATCAGGCTTTTAAAAATTACTATACAATTTATATTAAAATTATAAAGGTTAAATTAAAATTATTCAAGGTTTGCATCTCACAAAAACAGTGGCTCTTTGTCTCAAAAATCACAAATTTAGCCTGAAATATCCCTGATTTACAATTACATAAACTAGCAAAGAGTGAAGCTTTCTTCCTTATACATACTATGAACAGGACTCTGCCACAAAATTACAGGAGAGTGATCTGAAGCTTTGCAGATCATTCATGTTGTCATCACCACACATCACCCACGCTATCAGGAAGCACTAGGAAATGAGGCACACTGCTACAAACAATTTGAGGAGAACTAGACAAATAGGTCCCGAATGTCTAAGTCCTGTTTATAAAGAGAACATAATTGTTAGACAAGCTAATGACTTTGTTAGTGACAAAGGTTCACAGTAAACTGCTGTATAGGGGAGACAATAATTTCTTTTAAAAATGTGTTACATTGCATAGCATATTTTTTAAAAATAAAAAAATATCCCAAACACCAAACCTGTAGCTACTCTTTGCCTGGTGATCACAAAGAATTGGCTCACTCTCCTCCTTTTCCATCCCAGCTGCTATGCAATAGCAATCTCAACCAACACATCAGCTATGCAGCAGAACATTTTTTTAATCCCTACTAGAATTGGATGTACTCTCTGGAGGATTTACACCAAACTACTCTGTTTTTCCATTAATGCTAAATTACAGTTGCGTACAAATATGGAAAAGTAATTTCTTGCCAAAAGGAAACCAAAGAATCACACTCCTAAATTTCCCTGAAAAAAAAGCTACCAGAGAGTAACCTCTGTTTTCCCTTTTCCCAAAATAAACCCACCCCCATGCTTGTACTTGGAACTGGGTAACATTATATGGTCTTCAACATATGCACTATTCTACCAAGGCATTAACATGTTGATTAAAACTTGATAATATCTGTATAAATATGCACATGCAAATACAAGCAATATATCTGTATTTTTCTGACAAGTTATATGAAGTCAACATTTTTCCATATTTAGGCTAGTATAGATAGCCACTACACAATCCACAACTGGCTATGCTTTTTTGGGGATTAGGGGAGGGAACTTCCGTACTCACACAAAACTGCACTGACTGCAGCTTGTTCCCTGTCTTTCACACAGAGGCTTACTCTTCAGAATAAAAAAGGAGGAAAGATCTAGTCTAGTTGCTGGATTGCTGAGCAGAAAAGGATCTTCAAATGAAAACAGTTGTTTGAATGTTTCTTCTTCATCCTTTCCCAGAAAAAGAAACTCAGAGCTGTAGACCTGTCCTGTGCATCCCTCTCCAAAACAGCCAAGAAATTTGTGTCTAGAGGGGGCTTTCTGTCAGAATTGTCTTTCCAACCCTTCCTGACACCTAACTGAAAACCTCTCCGCCAGCCCCAAAGCCTTAACTTTTGACTGACCTTCAGTTGGACCTGGCACTGGAGTGGAATTACCAGAGGAGGATAACTGAGTAGGATACAGCACCTTCATATGTTAAATCACTGCTGCGTGGGTGTTCAGACGTGAGTCTGGAAGGGGTCCATCTGGAGATTTTTTTTGTTTGGTCTTTTTTGGGGGGGTTAGATCATAGTCGCTGCCTCAAAACACCACAAACTCACTTTGTGCCCATTATAGGGTTGTCACTAGTAAGCAGAATCACACTCGTCAGCTGGAAGGCTTGCTTCCCTTCCATAATAAGGCTTTTTTCTCCCGGTCAACAACAACAACACCAAAAAAATCACAAAACCTTTTGGTGACATTAGGACCATGCTATGCATATATCATTTTTCTATCTGTCTGTATCATTTTTGTGTCCATTTGTACTACAAAATTGAATCATCCCCCCTAAATTGATAAGCTTAAAAAAAACAAACATGCTCTTCAATATGGAGAAATGGTGATCTGCAAAGCACATATTTACATAATCATTAGCTTAAGATATAAAGAAATACATTGATTTTCAGTATAAAGTAAAGCCAGACTCCTCAGCACTTTTCTTACAGCTTAATTACTTACCTTGTTTCTTCATGATCTTTTATTGGGATTTTCCTGCTTGGCTCTACCACTTAAATCACATCATCTGATAGTCCCTGGTCACATTTTAGTCCCATCCAGTTGTAATCTCATCTACTTCTGACTACAGTCAGTGGTTGATACCTATTTATATTAAAGGTGAAAACTGGGATTATTTATGATGCCCTTATAATGTTATTTGCTTTTCCACAGATCTTTTGTGGTTTTCACTTAACTCTAACTAAATACTGACAGCAATCTCCTTGCCGTTCCAATCATTTTCCAATTGCACGTCCTAGTAGAAAATGCTGCACAGTAGTGACAATTTATAGATGCAGCCTGCAATTTCAATTAAAAAAAGTTGCCAGTCGCTTCACAAATAAAAATCCTCATGGCTCCATGACTTTCCTTTGAGTCATGGGTAAAGAGCAACTAGATGCTAGAACCTCTGAATAACCCACACACCCACGCTGCACGCACCCAAAGAAGATCATTTCCCAGCAGACACTTGTGGACTCATTACTAACGATCCAGCTGCTAATTTAGCATCTGCTCTTGCTCTCAGGTTACCAGCAGGTCCCTCCCTACCCTACAACCCCGCTCTGAATGGGTCGCGCTCACGCACAGCTTTGCTTCTTTAAAATACACGGGTATATTTAGCAACAGTAAGCGACTTTACACGATAAGGAAGAAGCATGGTTCAGATTAAGTAGGTAAATAAAACTCAATCAACTTAATCAAGAGCAGGTTTCGTAAAACAGAAGTCTTTTTGATTTGGTCATTTCAGGGAAAATTTGAAAGAGGGGAAAAAAGCTATAAAATTTTATCTATAGGAAAATTATTATTTTTTTTACCCTCCCTCGTCCCTGAAAGACAACTTGCTGCAGCTTGTTTAAACTAGAATTTTTTCACTAAGAAGCCAAAACTTTAAAGATATGATATGATTTTTGTTGTATAAAGTAAAAAATCTCATATTTTCACGAGTACTTTTTAAAAACTGGATTCAGTCATTAAAACATTAATTTTCCAGCAAAGCTGAAAGTAAACTGCCAGCAGTAAAGTTCTGAACTTTCACTCAAGACTAAGTTGGTTTTGTAGATAAAAAGATCCCGGCTGTTTGCATATTGCATTTAATTTCATTATTAAAACTGAACTTCCTGACTTATATAACCATATCATAAAGTTACACAACATTCACTTGTTTTGATTACTAGGAATTTTTCAGATGGGGTGAAAAAGGTAATGTACCGAAGTACTAATCCAATAGAACTCTGTCTACTCAATCTGCACACAGATATTTTGTCACATTTTGACAGTGTACATGCACATTTCACTTTGTGACAGAAATAATAGAATGAAGTATTAAATGATATTGAAAAAGAAAAGCATTTTCACTGAAAAAATAAGTACATTATCACATACTCAGTTCTGTCATTTAAGTATTCATTGATGTACTGTTCTATTACATTTCTTTATATAAAAAGATAGCACGTTATGAATTACAGACTGATCTAAGCACAGAGACATATTCAGACATAATAAATGAATTGATGGCAATATTTAGATCTGTATGCAGAGGTCATATGGCTCGTTATGAGTTTTATCTAATTATAAAGGTATACAGTAGGCAATACACTGGTATTGCCTGAACTTGAAAATAGCTGCAATTAGATTAAGTGAGAAAAAATAGTAATTCTATTCCTGCCTATATCTTACCTATAAGCATAAATCAATGGAGTTTAGCTGTTTCTTATAACACACTGCTTGTAAAATTTATATCTAAACATGTAAAACTCTATGATTACTACTATGCCTACATAATTTAACTTGCTATTTCATGAATAACATTTTTCCCCTTTCTTCTTCTGCAAGACAGTAATGCTTGGTGAAAGAAGAGAGCAAAAAGAACTGAAAGGTGTTGGGGAAAAAAACCCAACAAACAAGCAGCTAGAGGAAAGTGATTTATGTAGCTGTGGACTTTTAAAACTTTCCTTTACTATTTGCCCTGTTGTCCCTTTACACATACTCCCTGGCTCTGCCCAGTTTGTGACTTCTGGCTCACTGTCATTGTAAGGAAAATTTTAGAAGACCAACACGCTGTTTCAAGCGTGGGGAATCAGAGCTTTTCCGAGAGATACAGGCTCGCAGACGAGACCTGAAAGGATCAAGGAGCACAAGACCAAGCAGAATGTGGCTGTCAGGTGACAAGCCATGGCAAAGAAAACTCCTTCCAATGCTTTTATAACGCAGCCCCCAAGCAATGATAACTTTACTCCAGATACAAAATCAAGGACGTGTTTCTCCTATTGTGCCACAAAATTAGAAACTTGCTGGAGAGAATTAACAAAAAAGGCCAGAAGAATAGACTTCACTATCAAGGGACAGTTTTACTTTTTCCAAATGTTTTTCCAAGTGAGATTTGAGAGTCTATTTACCCTGAGCTCCCAGGAACATACACGTACTTTCCGACAATTAAAAAAATAAAAACCATGAAGGCCTGAACACCACCACTTGTGAAATCTGTAGGCAACACTGCCAAACCACAGAAACACGCTGACTATGCTATACAAGCCAATAGAGAATTTCAGGCAATTTTGAGTCTGCATCAGGTGTCAACACGCCTGCACCCTACTGTGCAGCAATAAAAATTATATTCCTCACCACTCATCTTCTGCATGTATTTTGAGGAACACAACAGTACCACTCCTCTATATAAGGAGAGTTTAATTAGTGAACATGTGGTTTCTCTGCGTACAGAAGACTTTATAATCTATAAGCTTGCATGGTCTGTCAGATCACTATTCTCATAAATCCATCCATGACTGCAACATTTGTTCGAAGTAAATAGATTGCAGAACAATTCTGGAAAGACTGGCACAGCTGTACGACTCAGCGGACATGCTGGCACCAGAAGGAAGGTCCCATAGGGTAGCATTTATTTCCAGTATTAATCAACATATGTTGCCCAAACCACAGTTTTGAATCTTCCATCTGCAACTCAGTGAGAAATGCGAATGTATTAATTCAGAGATATGCTGCCATTTTCAAAGATTCCTAAAATAATCACACATTTCCTTTTAAATGCCAAGAGAGCCTACCAAACCAGCAGGATAAAAGAAAAATCTGTTTCTTTCTACAAGCAGTAAGCCAAGTACTTGCTCTCCCTTGTGCTAGCCATCGGTAAGAAGGCTTGCTACCCAGACCAGCTGCATGCAAAGGCTAGAGCTGTGCAGGAGCATCTGCAGCCTAATCCTTCCTCACATCCCTCCCAAGCAGTTGTACAGGTACTACAAACGTCACACAAAGCCTCCAAAACAGCTTCCTGCTTGGACCTCTCTACACCCACACAATTTAATTCTGAAAAATTTAGGTCTTTTTGGAAAAGCACTATGGTACCTCACCAGGTGCAAAAGCAACATGAAGTCTCCAATTCACTTAGTTCCCCCGAATTTTGTAAGGAAACCTATCTCATTGCTGGAAGATAAAGCAACACTATTTTTAGTCTCTTAACTGCATCCCTACAGCTGAATGCCACTGAACTTCCTTTTTTTTTTTTCCCCCTGCACGTAGCAATGGTATCATTTAAAAGAGAAGCAAGGGAATATAATTCCCCTCATCAACTGTCTGGATCATTTGCTTGAAGGGCTGATCTGTACAGCAGGCTGACGTGCACGTCCTCTCAATTGATGGCAGAACAGAGCTCTCTGCTCCTAGCCATTGTGTGCAGCCTCCTATTCAAATCTAGCACCAAAGTTTTGAACACAGACACTAATATGACAACAGCTTAGTATTCTATATACAGCACTGAGTTGTTTGTCCTGTAACAATACAGGTAAGTGGTAATTTACATTTTAAAAAAACTCTTCACAGATACACAACATTAATTAAAAGATAAACTCATTCACTTAAAAAAACAAATTAAATAAAATAACAAATAACAAATCCATATTGTCAGTTTTTCTCCAGGCAAATTTAAGCTAAAGTACTTCTATACTATGCTACTGTAAAATATGAAGTAGTTTCAGACATTTTTCCTCTCTATCACTTCAATACCAAACTTAATTTAAAAATCTGAAATTATTCTCAGGTAGCAAATTAGTATATAAATAATTGGCAACTCACCACAAGCAATATTTCTTTTCAAGTAACTTCTTATGAAAATGAAGCAGCACGGGGAATTTACGGTGCTTTTTATGGCAAGAAATCCATGGTATCTGTATAAACAGGTTTTATACTTCAGGCAGTTTTATATGTGTAAAATATTTTCCAGTAGACCTGGATCCCATTTTTAATAGGAGAAAGTGTGGTATTTAACCACTTGAATGCAAAGAGATTTCATTCCAAAATAACTATGGCTAATTTGAGAATACTCAATAATAAACAACAAACAACTATATACTTGAGCAGTTCTCTTAAGACTGGTGCAATAGCAAGACAAGCTGTAGGCTTTATAAAAAAATATAAGCAATATCTGATCTTGCAAAAAGAACAAATGAGAACAGAAACAAATAACCTCTGTATCCTTACCAGTATGAACAATATATTGTTAGTGTCCAAGAGGTCTTTAGCTGTAGAATACTGGATGGCACTTTCAAGTTTACCATCATGTAAAGGAAATCAACTACAGAAGGAACACATAAAGGAATGTACAGATTGCACTCACCCATCTTTACCTAAACACCCCCCCTTTTATAATGAGATACCAAATTTTTGTTACTTTAATATAAAACACAAACCTGAACCCCTGTAAAGCACCAAGACCAGTGTGCACACACAAGTATTTCCCTGATATGCCCAGCTGAAGACCTCGTTGGTCCCTCTTATACCTGTCTGATGCAGGAGCAGACCCAGAGATTTCAGCCAAGTTGCTCGGGATTTGCACAGCTCAGCCTGGCAAATGAAGCAGGGCAAAAACCCAAAGGGCTCTTGGGCTCAAAACGTGATTATTAAGGCAATGGGAGCAGAGCCACACCCAGTCTCCTCCAAGCTGAACAGGTCAAATAAATTCATGCTGCTTCAGAGCAGCTGATCAAAGTCCCATTTCCAATCTTGCATTGAACAATTAGCCAGTGCTTTTGCTGCTCTTCATTCTCTGGCAAGTACAAGCAGACTCTCCAAATCTGTCCCAACAGAATCCAATAGACTGGGGGGACAGACACACTATGAGTCTGCTATGAGTCTTTAGCAGTCATTTTGTATAACACTACACTAACCGCCTTACCAAAAATTTAAGGGGGAAAGACAAAAAAGGTGCTTCTATGAAAAAATTTAATTCCTGGTTTGTCTTATATGGGGCTGGAAAATAGTAAATGTTACAAAAAAATAGAAAGAAATACTACATCTGAACCAGGAGAGGGAAGACGCTATATTTTGATCCTGGTATCAAGTGCTAAAATCGCCTAAGACATTGTTTGTGAAATAGAACTACTAAAAGCAAAGAAATCAAAGAACAGGTTGTGCCCACTGATACTCAAATAGTTCCAAAATTAACAATTTGTCTTCTTCAGAAAGAATTCTACACCAAAACTATAATAAATTTTCTCTACTGAGAAGAGTAATATTTCCCGAAACCTGTGAAGTTGAAAACTGAGGAAATACTTGTTACAGAATAACTAATTGCTCTTTCAGGAAGGTATTCTCTTGTTTCTTACAAATCCATTTAAAAGTTGGAAGGGGAATTCAAGTAGTTGCTATGAAATTAGGAAGAAAAACAACTTTAATGTCATCAAGACATGGTTTAATCATCAACAGGGCTGTGCTTAGGTAGTCTTTTCTGAACTGTTTTGCAAAGTTGGTACAATCTATAGGACTTGAGGTGAAGGAAAAAACCAGCCAATTAAATTTATTATTTAAAACTGCAGTGTAAAATTTTATCCTTTTCCTACCTACACAGGTAATTTGGAAAATCCACCAATCTCTGAACTTTTATCTGAAGGATAAAATTCTGTTAGGTAATGACTCATGTAAAAGGTGATTTCTTTCAATTTTAAGTTTGATCCTGGAGCCTCTGTTCATCACACATGGACATACCTATGTTTGCCTCACAACAGAAAAGGTAGGTTTTATAATAAGAAGCAATTCCACACGAACACATTATATTTAGGAACAACAGACTTGATCAGAATATAGCAATCCTTGACTAGATAGTGTAAGAGCAGGAACAAAAATATCTTCTGGTTTACAAAAGACTCGATGGAGTGGGAGAACAATTTCCTGCCACGCTCTGGTTGCTCTCTATCATCCCTGTATCAGTCTGGGCTCAGGCAAGTCTATTCCTACACACAGCCCAACGCTGGACAATTTGCAGCTTCCCCGGGTAAATGGAGGCTTGGGTACTCCCTAAGTGGACAATGGTCCCAGTTTGTCCTCCTCAGAGCCAGTCACTACCCAGGGAACGAATCTGCACAACAGACCTTAATAAGCCTATATAAAATAAGACAGCAAAAAGACTGTATGTGTCAGAAAGCACAAAGTTATGCACATCTGACAATGTAACATTACTTTAGCATGTGATGCTGCTCTGTGTTGCTGTGACATAACCAGGTGACTCTCCAGTTCAGCAGGAGAAAGAAACAGGTAATTAAAAGCAAACAAAATAAATGTGTTAATTACAACCCTGTCAGTTTAGAAATGTGATCTGACCTAATTGTAGCTATATTTAATGAATGGGGAGAGTTACTTTTATGAGCACCTGAAGGTGTCACAGTACCAAGATTTTAATCGTGGCAAAAGCCAAAGGCTGGCCTCCTTCCCAAGAAGAAAGCCCCAGTCCTAGCAGCAAGAGTTCCTCAGAACGACCACAAGCAACACGACCAGCCCCCTTAGAGCAGAGAAAGCTGTGTTGACACTGAAACGTGAGCTGTACCCCCAGGGAAACCAGCAGTAATTTATTTATTATCCATAGAAGTGTAGGCTTGGTTCCAAAAGTACCATGAGAAGTTATTCAAAAGAAAAAAAAAACAACAGAAAAATAAAACCAAACTCAAAACCACAGAAAGAAACAGAAGGAATTTGGATTTGTACCAAGATATTGCCTCCTCAACACCCTGAACCATTACTGAGGTATTCAGAAATAAAGCACTGCCACAGGAGCAGATATTGAAGAAAAGCACAGAAAACGTTTTTTCTTCCCATTTATCTGAAACTGTTTATTGATTTTGGAGAATCCCCTCCTGGCAAACTCAGACAAACATGGGAAAAATACACGTCCTGTGCACAGTAAGAGCAGATGTGCCATGCTTGATGTATTTACCTAGGAGGTATTTTTGCTGCCTATGCAATATACCAACCTCAAACATAAAAAGTGCAGAAAGGAAAGTCATCTAAGCACAGAAGTAAGAAAAAAAAAGAAATAATATTTTCTTTGTAAAGTAACTTGGAGTTTTTATTTATCTTTTGGAGCCTAGTAATGCAGGAAAAAAGTCGTTATCATAAACAAAATAACTCTATTATCATAATAAAATAAATAATATAATAATAAATACTATATAAGATAAATAATAATAAAATAAAATAACTCTGTTATCATAAGTAAAATAACTCTGCGTGTTTTGAAGGGTTTGAGCAGAATTTACTAGTTAATTTTCTCTTACATCCGAAGCATAGCACCCAATAATTCTCCAGGGTGAGCACTGGAGAATGCCCACTGTGGGATGTATGGGGCAAGAAGGAAGAAATGAGCTTTTAAAACAAAAATCATCTAGATAATCTAAAACAGAGCTTTCCTCTTGTGTCCTTGGAGATGTCAGCCTTGCCTGAGATGATTCTGTAGCTGGTGGGTTTGTGTGTACTACAGCGTGGGGACCACCACACAACCTCAGAGGACAAACTCCTGCTCGAGCCACTACCATACCATCTCCTGGCATCACGTAACACAAATACAAAGGGAAACAATTCCTCCCTCTCCCCCCCCCAAAAAAACCCAAACAAGAACCCTGCATTTTCGGAGAAAAGGGCACCAGCAGATTAACAAGAATGACCATCAGGCTTTGGAGACAGCAACAACTGATCATCAATGGTGTGTTTGTACTCAGGCCCTTGAATTTTATTGTTCTTTGGTCTAACTAACCCACTGAAATATTACCAAAAAGCAGTGATATAAAGAGGTTTTATATCATCTTACTGTGAATTGTAACAAGAATGTTTGTTGAAACAACACTTGAAAATTCAGAAAGCATCTCGTCAACCATTAATGGTATCCATTTTAAATCTCTATTTGGTCCTCAAAAAACCCATGTTATTAACCCCTGATTACTGAAAACCAACAGTTTTAGCTCCACTTCATAATAACAACCCAGCAACAGTCAATGAGATCAGCACGCATTTATTTAAATAGAGCCCGACACACAGGAAAGGAAAGTAGGCACGGCAAACAGACAATCACACTGTTAGTCACTCTTAGTGAAAACATAAAGTAACATTTATCTGATTAAGTACTTTTGGATTGGTACTTGCTGTTGGAACCTTACAGTATGGTTATATTTAGAACACTGATAATATAAAATGTAATTTTCTTGCTCAAGCTCCATGTAAGAGAGACGATTTTGCATG